ACTCCTCATGTGTCATGGTAGTGTTTATTACCCCCCTGAGGACCAGCAGGTGTAAGCTTTCACACACAATCACACGGAGAGTCCATGCACACTTTTATTATGTACAAACACATATAACTACATTTATGGATGGTCACATGCACTCATGCACACACACACACACACACTATAACTTTATAAGTGTCTATTTTCTCGTTGTCTCATAGAGGTTCGGATTTAATTAGAGTTTAGAGGTTAGGATGAAATTGTGGTACCTCGTATAAGATCCCCAAACCAAACAAAGGTCCCTGAATGCTAATCTTAACAGTAGTCTTACACTTGCAACATCGGTCAACCTAATGTTTGCCCAGACTAGATAAAATTGAGTTTGTCGTCCTCAGGTTAATAAAAAAATCACTCGGGCTGTGATTAAAAAATATTCTTTAAACAGAAGGTGGTTTATTTTATTGAAACTCAAAATAAATTTGAGTTTCAAAAGGCATATTCCGCTAACATTAGCCTGCTAACATTAGCCTGCTAATGCAGACTAGGGATGGATATCGTTTAGGTTTTATCTGATACCGGTGCCAAACTGTTACTTTTGAAATGGTGCCGGTGCTTAAACGGTGCTTGAACCGGTGCTTAAAGAATGGAGAACACAAACTTTGTCCAAAAACCTCTCATGTTTAGCTGTTTTTTTGTAAAAAGATAACAATGTTAGCCTTTTCTGCAGCTATAGGGCATATATGGTATCACTCTTGGCTGGAAGCAGTGCTTAAACAATGGAAAAGACACAAACTTTGTCCAAAAACCTCTCATGTTTAGCTGTTTTCCACTTTTCCTTTGGTCATTTTAGCTTTTTTGGCCAGGGTGAAGGGAGTATCTGCCATCAAACAAGAAGACAGCCGCATGTAACTACGACGGTGTTTGCTAGTTCACTTTACATGCATTAATTTAATAATGTGGTTAGCCTACTCAATGTAAATTACACACGAACAACATTAAGCTATTCACACCGAGAAGAACGGCTGCTGCTGCCATCATTATCCGTCATCATTTCTGCTACACTGGCAGGGCTAGGGGCCAGGACTCTCCTCTTCGGGTTCTTGGGGGATGTTGCTAACTCCGGGTCCGATAACAGGCACCACACCTGCAGTAGATGTGCTCGGTATGAGCTCTTGCAGCAAGCTATCAAATACAGTGCATTCCTCGGCTTTTAAAAAAACACTATGCGTCGCCAGGTGTTTCATCAAATTTGAGGTGTTACCTCCTTTGCACAGCATCACATTTAAGCACTTGTTGCAGGCTGCTGAGTTTACATCTTTTGCTGTGAAGTACAGCCAGACTTTTGACTGCTTCGCCTTGGGCATTTTTAATCTTTAGCTCTGCTCTAAAAGAACGTACGTACCTGGGCCTGCCTACTATCCTTGGAAAGGTAAAATGACTGGCTAGAATCCAAAGTGTATGACGTCTCAAGAAAAAAAAAAGCACAGAAATAAAGCACCAAAATGTGTGCTGCTTTTCGGTCTGGTTACTACCGTTTATGTCAGAACCGATACCGGTACTCATCCTTAATGCAGACCAGTTGCTGGCCATCCAGCAAAGCTGCTAGCTCGCTAGCTAACCATCTCCTGTGTCTCAGTTTGCATACTTGCTTATTTGAAAGCATAAATACAGGGTGGGCCATTTATATGGATACACCGTAATAAAATGGGAATGGCTGGTGATATTAAAGTCCTGTTTGTGGCACATTAGTATATGTGAGGGGGCAAACTCCTCAAGATGGGTGGTGACCATG